CCTGCCCTGCTCCAGCTGCCTCTGGTCAGGCCGCGCGCTAAGCTGCGCTCGGGGACGCGGGCCCAGCCCCACCCCCTCAGCCGGGAGACCTCTGGGAGTGCAACAGCCCGGCGCCTGGGACAAGTCACAAGCAACTGGGAAGCGGAGGCAGGGTCCCAGGTTCAAATCAAGGGGTGCTGAAGGGCACCCACCGCCCTCCCTCTGGAGCCAGCCCAGTGAGCACGCCTAGAGCCGTGAGCAGAGGAGTGCCAGGAAGACAGCCTGGTTCCCTGGCAGGAGAAACACCACGTATCTGGGTCCGTGGCGGCAGTTTTCCTTAAGCCCTCCTGGGGTGTAGTACCCGCCGAGGTGTTAGGGCTTAAAGCCTATTTTATGGGAATGGGAGGCTCCTCCCTAGCTTGCTCCTGCGGCTGTACGGACGAGGGCAGGTGAGCCTCGGGGGCACCTGAAACCCAAGCCGGGCTTGACCTGCACATAACATGCCTGCCAAAAGATGTTGGAAATATCCTTCATCCCCACCAAGGGCTTCAGATGTTTGCCGGTTGTAGGGCCGCTTATGGTTCTAGAGGGACTCACGGATTTGGGTTTAATTTGGCTGATTTGGCTTCGAACACAAAAAAAATCTTTAAAAAAAAAAAAAAAGTCCCCCTGGCCAGAGCCTCCTTCCTGCTGTGGTAGAAGGGCAGCTTGGCCAGAGCCAGGAGGAGGTTGACCAGGAAGCCCTGGGGCTTGGTGGGGCCACAAACAGGGAGTGTGTAACAAAAAAGGTGCAGGGAGAAGTGCAGCCAGACCCTCAGTGAGAGGTTCTGGAAAAGGTGGAAGAGGGGCAGCAACCTGGTGCACTCAAGGTAGGCATGCGCCAAGCATAGGCAACGTGTAGGGTGGGCATGGGCGGCACGTGCCAAACCTAAAATTGGTCACCGCTGATGACGCCGCCTGCGGGCAGTCCCTGCTCACCACTCTCCCTGCCACGCTTCACTGCTGACACTGCTGCGACTGCCTACTGGCAGTCTTTACTTGGCCTGCCCTCGCCACAGATGTCACTGTGGCTACCTGTGGGCAGTCCCACTCAGCCTGCCCTTGCTGCCGACACTGCTGTGGCCGCGTACGGGTGGTCCCTGTTCACTGCCAACATGCCCCCGCTGCTGCCACCTGCAGGTGGTTGCTGTGCCCCCCCCCCAGCCTCAGGAGGCATGTATAGCGTGCATGGCACCAGGGTCTCCTGTTGGCAAAAGGGGCAGGTCTCAGTAAAGCACCCCAGATCCATACCCCTGGCAACAGCTCTGTAGAGGAGCTGCCAGCTGAGGCTCTTGGGCTCAGGGTGGAATACAGATTTGATCACTAGGGACTCTCAGCTCTGCCCATGCCTAGTCAGGTGGCAGTGAGCATTTGTCTTTATGGCTTCTCATCCACCTTTAAGATGCTTCCTTTCACAGGTGTTAATGGTATTAATCTTCTACTTAGCAAGCTCTTTTTTTTTTTCCCTTTGCAGTCTTTAATCTCCTTCTAGAAATGGGGCTCCTGTTTCACAGCCCATCAGGCTGCTTTTAAATCTAGTGAGAAATAAATGCAGGTGTGGGAACACTAACTCAGGCATGGAAACTCTTAGTGAAGCACTGGGTGTACTGGCAGGATTTTGATGTGCCGTTCTGGAACGTGGGCCACAGCCTGCCAAGCAGAGCTATGAGCCTGATGAGGGAGGCTACTAAGAGCACATCATAGATTGCTGGGACAAATAAAAGATAAAATAGGGATGGGAGTAAAAATCGAAGGTTCAAAAAGAGTGTACTAAGGCGCTAGTGCCCATTGGCTCTCAATGAGTCCAAGGAGCCAGTGGACACTGCCCAGCGAAACTCTGCCCAGAGACAAGGACGGACCAGGGACAGAAAAATGGCCTTGCAGTTTCTGGGGTTCCTCCCAACCAGTGACTTCTTCCTGGTCAAGTAGATTGCTAGCTTGGCTAGGGCCAGAAGGAGGTTGACCAGGTCTATTTGATATGCATTGAGAGCGTGGGCTGTTGCCCACCAAGTAAAGCTAGAAGCTCCCCTTTATCTGGGGGCGGGGAAGAATAAGTGCATATCAAGTGATTACAGGGGACAACTAAAGAAGAAAACGGATGGGAGTGAGGGTCATAGATCCAAAATTAGTGCACCAAGGAGGGACACCGAACAGAGCTCACCGGCCAATGCCCACTGGCCCTCAAACAAATCTAAGGAGCCAGTGGACACTGCCCGGGGAAACTCTGCCTGGAAATTTGAGCAGACCAGGGGCAGAAAACATCCCCGTGGTCCTCAGGGGTCCTCCTGGCCAGAGCCTCCTTCCTGGTCCAATAGACCGCTAACTTGGCTAGGGCTAAGAGGAGTTTGACTAGGAGGTACCAGGATTTGGTGGGGCTGTGGATGGGGAGTGGGTAAATGAAAAGGTGCAGGGAGAAGTGCAGCCTGAATCTCAGCTGGAGGTGGTGAAGAGGCTGCAGCCTGGCACACTCCAGGTAGGCACGCACCAGGGTCTCCCTCTGCTCGCAGAAGGGGCAGGCATCAGAGGAGTTCATGTAGCATGCCAGATGCATGTGCATGGTGATGGCTCTGTGGAAGAGTTGACAGCTGAGGTCCCCGGTGGCTCACAGGGCCAGGGGGGAATATGGACTTAGCCACCAGTCCTTGCTGAGGGTGTCCTGTCACTTGGCGTGCTAGTGGGACGTGAGGACAGAATGACGAAGGGTGCAGACCATGAGTGTTTAGAGCTGTGGGGGATGAGCTGTATGGAAGCAGATCTGCTTGATATTCCCCAGCCTACTTGCCTTCATGGCTCATTCTTATCCACCTGATTCCTTCAAGATTCTTTATTCCACGGGCATAATGACCCTCTCTCCTTTTTAATGGTATTAATCTTCCACTAATCAAGCTATTCTCTCCTCTGCTATCTCTCTCTCAGTTCCTCCTAGAAATGTATTTCCTGTTTCACAGCCCTGCAGAGTGCTTTTAAATATAACTAAAAACATAAACTCAGAAATGTGGAAACTTTAACTCAGGTGTGGAAATAATGTTCAGTGAAGCATTGTGTGCACTGTCAGGATGCACAAGAAAGCTTGCTTTTGTTTGATGAATCTGAAAGATGAACATTTTAATTCTAATGACTGCAGGACTAATGAAACAATATTTTTTGAGTATTTTTGCTTAGTTTATTCCGGTTTTTTTTAATACAAAATGTATGATATATCAAATGAATGCACAGTCCAATAAAGTTGTATCTGTTTTTGCTTTGATCTTGAACTGAACCATACAGCCCTAGGCCCCTAGCATATCAGTAAAGCTTCTAGTTTCCTTTTACCTGGAGTGTATGTGATGAGGCACCAAACTATCTGCATCCCCCTTTTCAAAATCCTCGACCCACCCATGTGCAGTTTCACCTCTCTTATTCCTGTTCCACCTAAACTCTAGCTAAAAACCTTCACTCAGGTGTGGCAATATGAATTCAGATGTAGAAATGACCAATAGTGAAGGTATTGGAGGCAGTGGCTAAGCCACTTAAGAAGGCAAGTTTTGGTTTATTCATCTAAATAAGAAGCATGCATTTAACAGGACTAAAGGTATAGTATCTTTTGACTACTTTTTGCCTAGTTGTGTGTTTTAAAATGTTATATAGAATCTAGCAAATGACTGTACGTTCTAATACTTGTATTTGTTTTTGCTTTGATCTCAAAGTAAATAATAGAGTGCTAGCTGCCTACCATTTTAGTAAAGCATCTTGTTTCTTTTTAACTGGAGCCGTATGTGAGTTGTGTTTTGTTTGATGATGAGTCATGCCATCTGTACCCCACTTTTTAAAATCCTAGATCTGCCATGTTGTCAGTTCACCTCCCTGCACCCATTGGCAATGCGTAGGGGGTGCAGGTGGGTGCAAGTGCACCCCCTGAGACTGGCAGTGAACCCCCTGAGATTGGCCATGGCTGGCAGTGCCTGTGGGCAGTCGCCGCTTGCCACCCCTCCCTCCCTTGCTGCCGACACTGCTGGTGGCGTCTGCAGGCGATTGCCACTGACCGCCACTGCTGGCGGCATCTGTGGGTGGTCACCGATCACTGGTTGGCGCTCACCACCCTCCCCGCCGCCACTGACAGTGCTGTGGCTGCCTGTGGCAGCTCCTCACTCACCACCGCCACAACCCCACCACTACCGCCACCACCTGTGGGCAGTTGCTGTGCCCCACCAGCCTTGGGAGGCATGCAACATTCATGCCTGCACCGGATCAGACTCTGGGAAAGAGCATAACTGCTCCTCACTGGAATTTTGCAATGTTGCAAAAGCCTAAAACTAAGGTTCCTTGTTCTACATGGATGCATCTACATTTTACCTCATCAGTGCCTAACTGAACTGAGGAGTCTGCTCTTCAGGCACCCAACTTTGAAAGCTTTTGTCCTAGAGTTGTATCAGAGATGACCTTAGATCAGCTAGTCCAGTGGTTCTCAACTAGGGTGCTGTAGCACCTTGGGGTGCCTTGAGATCCTAGAAGGGGTGCCATGGAGCACAGTGTTAATACCGTTAGGGGTGCAAACATGATTCACAAGATAAACCCGGCAATTTCAAATAAGAATCCATAGCATTAAAAAAAAAATCTGAACTGTTGTGAGGTTTTCCTTGCAACAGAAACATTGTTCTATTAGTTAAAAAGTGAGTAAAAGCTAAGAGCTGTCATTTTCCAAGGGGTGTCTTGAGCCAAAAAAGGTTGAGAACCACTGAGCTAGTCTGACCTCTGACATAGAGACAGGCAGTGGAATCACAGCTTCTTACCTCTGCAGGGAGTGCAATAACTTGTGTCTGATGTATAACCATCTCCTCAAAAGGCTTTCTCTTTTTTTAAAGATTCCCAGAAATGAAGACTCCTCCACTGCCCTGTTATTTGTTCCAGTCGTTACAAATTTGTGCTTTATTTATAATTTGACTTATTCCAGCTTTAATGTGAGATT